ACACAAGCGGACAGTTGGCATTTTGATGAGACTGTGTGTGTGTGTGTGTGTGCATGTGTCTCTGTGTTTTAGTATTCGAGTGTCTGTGTGCATGTGTGTATATATTTACGGCTGTTACTCTGCGTTTCCAAATGCGTTTCACAGCCTTTGGCGCAATCGTCCGCTCTGCCACGCCACCTCCCAAACCATTCCTTGATGTCACTGACTGTTTGCACTGTCTTCCCACTTCAGGCGCTGCGTGGAAGGACACTGGCACGCAAGGACGTGTCCTGAGCAGTGCAATTGGGCTCTGGCAACAGCCTCGTCGTTGTCGTTTGTTTGTTCATCTTGTTTACCTACTGCTGCCTATTTATCTTTGGCCAAGCTTTGTGCTCGTCTTGCCTGCCTGCCTGCCTGCCATCCACGACCTTCCAAGTTCCCTTGCCACGGTCAACAGCGTCCTGGCCGTCACTTCGTTATTGCTGCATTATCTTTCAAATGGCATATTTATAGGATTTCGCTAGCTCTCTCCACAAATACACTCTCAGCAGCTCTCTTTCGCACACACTCTCTTGAGATCGATGCGCCCCAAGGTAGGCAGTCGGAGACAGGCTCATAGTTTATTGGCAGTGCCTCAGAGCGCTTGATGCGCATTTCCTCAATCAACTTTAGCCCCAGTAACGGCACCGGCAACGGCAACGTTCAGCTACTGTAAACAGTTAAACAAGCGTCACGCTCGCGCAGGCAGCACCAGCAGCAGCTTCCACAGTCAGATGCAGTAAGGAGCAACGAGAACCAAGGAGGTACACTGCAGCCAGCAGTGAGCTGCAGTTGGGAGCTGATGTCTGATGACAACCAGGAAGAGCAGTCAGACGGCACACTGTCAACTCCGGTGCACAGTGTGCCAAATTCGTACATGCTGCTTTACTTCTACATTTGTGTTGAAATTTGTTTAGGACAAACATATTTTGTGTGAAAAAACCTATAAAATGTTTGGCGTTTTTTATCTTTTTTACATGATTTTATGATTCTTTTGTTATTTATTTATTAAGAACAGTTTTGAAATTTGAATCTTCGATGCTAACCATAAAATTGTATCTAATTAGAACTGCTTGGTTTCACTGTGCGTTAGCAACTTTGCCTGCTGTGTCAATGTTATTACTGCTGCCGCTGCCAGTGCCCCAGTCAGTGCTACTGCCACTGCCACAGCTATAGAAACAGCTACTGTTACTGGAAGATATTTGTGCTTAACCATTTCGTACATAGTAAATTCATTTTCTCGATTGGCTCTCGTCCATTTCGATGTCGTTGTCCTTATCGATGTCATCGTTGTGCTGAGCCATATTTTATTTGTGTTTATTGATTTGTTTGCACTTGTATGTGTAAATATTTTATTTTATTTTCATTTTTATTATATTTGCTTGACTGACCAGCTCATTCTGGCAGCCTGTCCTCTCTTTCTGTGCTTATTGACACGAAATTCGTTTGACTTTTGAGCCACATACGAAATCAATACGAATGAGTGTCCAATTCGTTCACCTCCCCTCCGCATCCACGATCCCAAATTACTGGCGGACTGACTCACTCTGGCTGTTCTGTCCTTGTCATTTTTATGACAGCACATCAAAAATCAAAGCCCAACACGTGGCGTATGAGCAATGCCGCATTGGCGAACTCAAAACGCAGCTCCACACAGACTGTTTGTTTAGTCGCTTGCTCCACTGTTCCACTGTCCCACTGTCCCACTATCCCACTGTTCCAGCTGTCGTACCAATGTCCATTTTACTTCACTTTATGCATTCAATCAACTAACAGCGCACAAATAGTTTAACTCAGCAGCAATGAAGAAGATGCTATTACAGAAGGCGGTGGCGGGTGAGCTTGAAGCAAGCAAAAATTTCATTAATTTTCATTTATACGATAATGGGAAATTGAATTTTCCATGCATAGCGTCCGACACATTTGCCGTCTGCCCTCTCTCTCTCTCTTTCTCTCTCTTTCTCTCTGTCTCTTTCTGTGTCCCTCTGTCTCTCACCCCATATTTCTCGGTCGAACGCAAGAAAGGGGTAATGGATGTGATAACGGCAGTGGGAAATGCTAATGGCATCCATGTATGTATGTGTACATATATGTATACTTAAGTCGGTATAGGTTTGGGCGAAAGTCACGACCAGTGTGGCGTCCACTCCGATTATGGTTTTTTGCTTTCGATTACTTATGCGCAACCATTCGTCCAGCTACTAAGATACACTCGCAAAATCGTCCAACTCTTTTAATATTCGCGCACGCAGCAGCTACCTGAGTGGATAAATTATTTGATAAATGTTTGAATGGGCGCTATGACAGCTTGATGAGAGACTCACATTTTCGAACAGACCCGATCAGCAAGAAAAATGAGCAAAGGAGGCAATGCTGAGAGCAGGCAGTTGAACAAATAAAGAATGAAATTCAAAGTCTATCCACAGCACTTTATTATTCATTTAGAAGTAATGTTTATGTCTGCAAATTAGCATTGGATGAACAAATATTTAAGCATATATTTCAATTGTTTTTTGCTTTACATAATTTATTGTTCTTTAATCATGCAATTCGTACTTAATGATGCATCGTAATTTTTATGGCTTTATCTACACATTGTACTGAGCATTTTTTTATATTGTAAATATTTATGTTTTGATTATGAAATATTAATTAAAATAACAAGCATTTCTTTATATTGTTTATGCAGCGAACTTTGAGAAAAATAATTGTAATTTGCATATTTAAAAATTTGCTTAAATTTGAAATTTTGATCGAATGAAGTGAATTGGGGCTAATTATTATTACGTTCGCACTTGACACAGTATGTAATCATTTATAGTTCTGAGTGAGTGCTTTTACATGCATGAATGGAATTGACATCGCATGAAACACCTTTTTATTTAATGTTTAGTTTTTATTATCGCAGCGCGTGCAGAATTTATTAGCCTGCCAGTGACTTTTATGTGCGTCCCGGCGATTCCAATGACCAAAGCCAAAGACAAATCCAAAACCTATGCCTATGCGCCCTCCCATACTGCTCCGAGCTCTCGCATCCCCAGCCATCTTGGCAAACGTTGCGCAATGAAATTATCTATCGAGACCAAGATACGCGCCGGATATGTAGTGAAGGGTAAAGCATTAGCCGCGCTCGAGGCTCCTGCCGAGCCGAGCCGCCAGCTGCTGGTCAGTGAATGCAGCGGGCAGCGTATCGAGAGAAATCATGAATTATTTATTTGTGTGGACATGAATTATTGTTATGAAGTTTATTGCAAACAAATTGCGTCCTGGGACAGTGGAAATCAATAGCAAATAAATAAAAGCGCAAACGGTTTTTGTGGCTTTCACTGAAACAACAGCAACGTGGACCGATATGCCAGACAAGATATCATCCAGTACAGTACAGAGCTGGCATATGGACGGCGATAGGCATGGGGATAGGGACAAGGACAGAGACAGAGATAGAGACAGAGACAGTGGCAGGGACAACATGGATACAGGCAAGAGGTACGAGGCTCGCGAATTTTGCTGAGTTATACCCGTAGTCTGTCCCAACCAGCAGACAACAAAGAGTCAGCGCTCTCTTCTTCTATCCCAATCACCCCCCTTCGACTCTGTCGCTCTCCAACTGAATATATATATATATGTGTGTGTGTGTGTGTGTGTGTGTGTGTGTGTAAAACCATCAACAACATGCACAGGATATGGGAGAATGCTGCGGGCGATTCATGAAATTTAATGAAGCAGGCAAACTAAGTGGGCTGACTGAAATCACTATGGATTTTGAAGGATGAGGAATGGTGGATGGTGGATGGTGAATGGTGAATGGTGAATGGTGAAACGTGTATTGCTGGTGGGGATCTGTATGGCTGGTTAGCTCGCGAACAGTTGGAGCGATGGCGCTGGCCAAACGGATGTGGGATATGTATTTGAAGCTGCTTTTTAATTAAAATAAATATTTAATTGAAATTATAATCAGGAATTAGTTGCGGGCAATAAGTCAAAAGCATAGCCAAAGAATGAACAACCATGTCACCCACCCACACAGCCACATTGCCCAGTCAGCCGAATGCTTTATTGTTGCATTGCTAATGTCCTGCCAATTGGTATGGCTCCTCCAGCTGCTTAACCTGCTGCTGCTGCTGCTGTGTTGTGAATGATAGACGGATTTGACGTTTGGCGACAAATCAATTTGTGATTATTAAAGACCCGCTGCTCATCTATCTCAACTGTTGGTCTCTAGTTGTTGCTCTTGATGATGATGGAAGTGCCTGCCACATACACACACACACACACACACACGTACATGAGCACATACGCTCATACATTAGGGAACTTGGAGGCCCTTAGCACCAAGCTGATAAGTGGCTGTCGACAAGACCTGACAATACGCAGAAAATACGGTATACAATTTCAATAACATTTAGTGCCAATTTCTTTGGCCACCGCATTTAACGACAGCGCATCGCATTAAGAAAGAGAGCGCGGGAGAGAGTGAGAGAGAGAGAGAGAGCGAGAGAGAGAGAGAAAGAGTAGCAGAACTAATGTCTTCGCCATTAAGTAGAAAGCTTATATGTGAGGGAAGGAAGGCAACTGCTGCGACTGCTTACAGATTGTCGTGGCAACACCAGAGGTGGTTTTTGATTACATAAAGAGCACACACACACACACAGACACACACATATGTATATATATATATATATATATATATATATACTCGTATACTTACTCTACCGCACACACGCATCTGACGCCAAAATCGAATGCAAAAAAGATGCGCATTAAATTAATGAATGAAACCTCGTCTCGACTTACACAAGCTCGAAATAAAATTGGTGGCCTTAAGGCAATTCTTAAAGATGCTCTTATGCAGAACGCTCAACTGCTTTGCACAAGATCAAATACTCTTACCACAATATTACACATACAAAATAATACATTCGATCCACTTCTAGTGTAAAGCAATATTAAATTCGTTAAATTGCAAGAAATCTTTCACTTACACGGCAGAGTCGTAAAGCTCCAAGTTGAGTTGCGTTGAGTTAAGTTGAGTTGAGTTGAGTTGAGTTGAGTTGCGATGGTCTGGAAAAAACCTGTGAATGTTAAGCAGAAAACAAAATTGATTGAAATCAATTAAATAATTTCCATTCGAATGTATTTTTTTCTAAAATGAATTGGAATTGTGTGCAACAATAATGTGTGGAGTGTATTGAGAAGCGAGCGAAGAAAATGCTAAGTGGATTTGCCGTTGAGATGTTCGCATTGCATGTAAGGCACAAGGATAACGAGACAGGATAACGTTGATGAATGCTGCAGTAGCAGCAGTGGCAACTACGTTGCACATTCGTCTTGCATTCAGTTGGGGTCTGGGAGTGGGCGTTGTCTGGGGCGTGGGCGTGGCAGTCGCGGTAACTACAAAAGCAATTGCAGCTGCATTTTAATGCATTTTCATTGCAGCTGCCGATGTAAGTAAAACGACAGCTGCTTACTGGAGCTGCTGGAGCTGCTGTAACACTGACTAACGCCCAGGTGCCCCGTGTGTCCAATGGGCGTGGCATGAAAAGAAAGCACAACAACTTCAATAATACGAGCAAAGCAAAAGCGAGAATTCCATTTTGGCAATGGCGCTGGTGGAAGTGCTGTTGTCGATCGATCCACAGACACATTTCAGTTCAATGACAAGTGCAAATGAGCGGAGGGAAAAGGCAGGACAGTAGCTGCCACTTGGGAAATGCGATTAATGGCATTTTTGTATTTTATTAAACAGAACCGATATCGTCATTTACAGTATTTACACGCGACTACTGCATGCGATAACAGTAAAATGGCAACCGTATCGATAACATTGGTAATCCCACTAACATATTACAGATGCGAGTAAATAAATTGAATCAACAAAACTGTTTTAATTTGCGTTTAATTAAGTACGGCTTTCAATTAAATTTTAGTTGAATTAAATTCAAGCATGTTGTGAATATGTAATCATCGATTGGCAGTAGTAAATCATTCCAATGCAAATACCATTAATTACACGCAGCTTTTCGCCAACCAGTAAGGCCAGTAAGGAAATTTAAGTAAATAGCAATTCCATTATAGAGCGAGCTATCTCGTATTATGGAGTTACTTAGGTCGATTGAAATTTTAGTGCATTTGGTCTGTCTTCTGTTTGTTTGTTTATGACTACTTTTTGAAATTAAGTCATTTATATGGTAAGTTAGTAGGACCAAGTCGTCGAAATCTGGACTTTCTGCCATGTATTTAGAACCAGTCTTATTATTATTGGCATTTCGCCGCATTTCACTTAGATAGATTTATTAGTGCAGTTCTAAGCTCTGTTATCGTTGCACATATGTTTTAATATTTTGATATTTTTATTTTATTTATTTATTTAAAGTCTTCACTTAAGCCAACGTTTCCTGGATGTTTACTTGTGTTTTCTTAAACAACATGTTCTTAACTTAACTTACAATACTATTGCTGTGGCTGCCTTTTCCTACTATGGATTTTGCGAATGGCACTTTAAAGAAGTGAATACTTTGGATTGATATTTAAAGGCTGGCAAATAATTGGCGGAAGTCTCCCCGAACTTGCTTAGTGTTACTTATGTTGTGTCGTTTACTTGAAGACATTTTGCTCTATCATAGCGATGTTTATTATGTTACTAAACGATGGCGCCTTATAGTCCTTGCTTGGCTTTCCATTTAACAGCTTATTCCTATAGATAATCATTACTTAGAATTGGAACTTTTCAGGTTGGAGACAATTCCTGTCTAAATTTACAATTGTCTAAATATTCATTAGTGTCATTATCTCTATATCTTCTTTACCCATTATAAATTTTCAATCATTTTTACCCGGTTTTATATTGAACCCAATTAGTTGATTATTAATTTAGGACATTTTCAGAAACAATAAAAAACATGATCTCAATTTTCTGTTAACTTGTACACCGTTTGATGCCAAACTGAAACAACTAAAAATGGCTTATAAATATTTATAAGTGTCAAATGACTTTGCAAGTAGGTCTTCTATTTTTGTGTGTGAATCTATTTAACACTGTTTCCGCTGCGAGCGTTTGGGCTGGGGAAATCAGTAAGTTGTATTAAATGCACCCAGTACATCCTGTTGCAGATGTTGTCCTTGCCTGATTGCGCCAATTCAATAGACAGGACAATCTGAGTCGGAGGATGGGGCTGCAGCCTGAGCTGGCGACAGGCGCGGCCGTGAGCATAGATAAGTCGTTTGTAAATTTTATATAATCTAATAAAAAATTGATGGCTTTAGAGTGCGGCGAACATTGAGGCTACCAGCTGGTAATAAATACCAGCAGGCACTGTTGGCTGCCCTTGGTATGCTCCTGGATCGTCGATTGGGTCTCAGCTCCAACTCTAGCCTCCGCTTCAGTCTCAGCCTCCGTCTCAGTGTGAAACTTAGTCTAACCAGATTCTTCTACAGCTGCTGCCTGTAACATTATGTATGTGTGTGTGTCTGTGTGTGTGTGTGTGTGTATCGACACTGTATCGACGCGTATGTTGCTGTTACTGCCAATCCTTTAAAAAGTGCTTTCCAATAAATGATGAGGCATCTGCAATGGAGAACGAGCAACAGCAGCAGCAAAATTGCAACACGGCTTACGAGCAGGGGCGGCGCGAAGGGAGGGAAGCAGCGGATATAGGCAGCAGCAACGCATTAGCTCTTTTTTTATGTGCCGCTGAGCTTAATGAAATGAGTTTGTCGAACTTATTGCTCACCGAGGCATGCAACATGCCAGGCATAGCATGTGATGAAAAAAAAACCACACACACACGCCCAGCAGCTAATAGATAGAGAAGGGGGTCGGGCAAAGGAGGCAGTGGAAGGCATACGAGTAAGACATGGCTGGAAATTTATTGTTGAGTGAAAACGTTAACGAAAAGTCTTCAAAAACTCGATAGCAGCTAAATTCAATTTATTTTGTCTGCGTTAATTATGTATGCATTAATTTTAGCCCCTGTGCAATGTGCCAAAGTTCTGGCAACACTTTAAAGTGCTTGTTTGCCATTAATTTGTTGATTTATTTGCAGAGCCAGCAGCTGGCCAAGTTTGCCAAGTTGCAGCCCGGAGTAAACATGGACAAACGTTGAGCTCATGGCGACATACATCAATTTGTTGTAGTGTCTGATAGTATCTGACACATCTGAAAGTGTGGCCAATAGTTTTACGAGCACTGCACAATTAAGTGGGTCGCGGGCCATTGGCAAGTCAATCAGGCAATCAGCCATGGCCCCGGCCAAGTTGCCATGGTCAGGAGCTATCTGGTAGTGCGAGAGAAGTGGAGGTGGAGGTGGAGGTGGAGGAACAACACAGTGAATAGCCTCTCAGAAAACTTGAACGGCATTGTTACATGCGCCGGGGCACAAACTTTTGCTTGGCATTACCGCTTGTTATCTTGCGAATTCTCGAAAGTTACACAATTGGACAAGCGATTGCCCAAGCCAGCGGTTGGGCAACCAACCAACCAACCATCCTCCCATCCACCCATCCACCACCCAGCCCTTTGGGCGAGTGTAAACAGTTTCAAATTACAACAGCTAAGTTTTCCACTGCTACTATTAACAAATTGGCACGCGGTGTCCGGGCTGAGGTCTGGCTGTTTTAAGACGCCAGCAGCATCATCCGCAATGTTCACAGTCTGCTTAAAATGTTAGCCAAAGAAATATTTATTTATGAGTAAACTTGTCTGCTCCGAGCCCCGCTCACAGCCACAGCCCAAGCCGCAGCACCCCCTCTCAATCACCTGTCATATGTGTGAGGGTGAACGTTAATGTTTTTATTAGCGTGGGTGCAAAGTTGAAACTGAAACTGAAGTTGAGCCGAAAGTCGTGAAGGAAGCGAACTTTATGCGTTGTTTTATGCCAGTTCAGGCCTCACCACCAACAACCAACCACCCACCGTCCCTCTGCCCCTCAGAACCCCCCAAACCCTATATGATGATGACTTCTTTGCCGATAATGATAATCTGAAACGGGGGCATGTTGCTGCGGCTGGAGTTGGGGCTGTGACAGGAACAGGGGCGTGGCCAGAGCTTAAGCAGTTTCGCCTGATTGCCTCGTTCTCTTCTATATTGACTTTAAAAATATTTGCTTGTGTATATGTTTGCTGGTATAATATATACATATACACATGCAGACAAGTATACTCGCTTATACACTTGAAAAACAAATTGAGTAAAATACATTAAATACAACTTAATAAGAAAAGTGTAAAACAAAACACTCATAAAAAAACAAATGCATTTTAACCATACTATTTATGCATAATTAATACTTCGAATGCAAACACTATTTCCAATCAATTTATTTAATCAATACACTGGCATTTCCAAATGATCAGTATTGCTGTTTCACTTGTCTGTTCATTAGATGCCTGATTCAGATACCTGATACCTAATACAATATATCTGTATATCGCTTTGATCGCTGGCATTGACATTGCTTAAGCTTTTATCGAGTTTAGTTGTTGCTTTATATATATCCAGCTCAGAACTGCAGCCTGATGTGGTAAATTTCTACCGTTTTTAAGACTGTGTTGTAAATGTTGTTTTCTCAGTGTATATCATTAGTTTGCCAGCATGTGTAGTCTGCATATGTGTATGTGTGTGTGTGTGTATGTGTATATGTGCCAGCTTTTTAATGCGCTGCCTGTAGGCTGGCAGGGGTAGCAGTTGCTTCACAAAACGTTTCGAGCTGCCCGAAATGGGCAATCAAGCGAAATGTGCCAAGCGGTTTGGGGCCATATCTGTCGATGGTATTGGAGTCTGTTGCCGGTACTGGATGGAGTCTCGCACTGGGATGGGCTGGGCTGGACTGGGTCTGGCATACCGTTGAGAGGCGACACAAATCAATGGCAAAGAACTCCGGCAATGAGTATTGGAAATGACATCGAAAACGAGTTCGAGTACGAGAACGAGAACGAGAACGAGGACGACGCCCGTCAGATTTGAGCAGTCACTCAGCGATGGGCGCGTTGTCTGTGGATGAGGCGAGCTCACATATATGTGTGCTCTCTCCTGCTTGGTCCTGTCACCAACTCACA